CAAGCATGAGCTCCCAAAAACGTGATTGCGAACATGGCAACACAGCGTCGTCGCATTGCTGAACCAGAAGAAGAGGACGAACTGCGCGATGAGCTCATTGAACCTGAAGAAGGGAGTAACAATTGCAAGAATTGTACAAGGAATAATAGGCAAAACGATAGAACAGGAAAGAGGGTTCTGCACCAGCAGGCAGGTGAGCACATATAGGAAACCCTTATTTGGGCTGTACTCGCTATAGAGTACCCTACTGCAGGCTAGACAAATGCAACATTTTGACACACCCCCATAGCCAAAGTGGGGTGTAATCAGCACAAGCATGCAAAGCAATAGTTCACAATGATAAGCATATCTAGAGGCAATCACAGAGGGCAAGTGAGGAGGAGGAGGAACTAAGAGAGGAGAAGAGGTGGTGGGCGGCAGCTGAAGCTGCTAGCACACGGCGCAACTGGAGCAATTGGCACACGTGCAACTGGAGCAACTGGCACACTGGCAACTGGAGCAACTCGCACACGAGCAACTGGAGTAACTGGCTCCGCGGCTAGACGAGTGGCAGGAGCAACTGACTCACGGGCGACTGGAGCAACGGGCTCACGGGCGACTAGAGCAACGGGCTCACGGGCGATTGGCGCAACGGTCTCACGGGCGGGTGGAGCTGCTGGCTATACGGCGGCCACCCCCCTTCGACCTCCCCCATCGGCCCAAAATTCCCATTCACACACCCCTTACTGCACCCCTAGATCCACCCAAACGTCACCCCCCTAGCACCACTCCCTCGGCTCCCACACACCCACCCCCCTCTGCGGCAGCTGCAGTAGTGGGAGATGGAGGAGGAGGAGGATCAGGGGATAGCTCACACACCCGCCACCCCGCAGTTGCACGAGGGCAGGAGGGGGGCAGGGGCAGCTCGCGTGGGCTGCAGGGGCGGTGCGCGGGCTGTAGGGGCGGTTCGCGAGCTGCAGGAGGGGCAGCGCGTGGGCCCCCCGAGGGTGCCACGACGGGTGACGGGGAGGAGGCCGCGTGCGGGCCCCCAAGGCGCCTTGACAGGCGACACGAGGGGGCGATGCGCGGGCCCCCAGGGCGCCGAGACGAGGCGACGGGAAGAGGGGCGACGCGCGGGCCCCCAGGGCGCCGCGACGAGGCGACGGGAGAGGGCGGCGCGCGGGCCCCCAAGGTGCCGCAATGAGGCGATGGGAGGGGACGGCGCGCGGGCCCCCAGGGCGCCGCAACGAGGCAACACAAAGGGACGGCGCGCGGGCCCCCAAGGCGCCGCGACCAGGCGACGGGAGAGGGGGCGACGCACGAGCCCCCAGGGCGCCGCAACGAGGCGACGGGAGGGGACGGCGCGCGGGCCCCTGGGGGGCGCCTCGACGGACGAGGGGGGGCGACGTGCTGGTCGACGGGGCAGGAAACCGCCGCGCGCCTCGGGGCGCACGGCGGGCAGGAAACCGCCGCGCGCCCCGAGCGCTTGGCAGGCAGAAAACCGCCATGCGCCAGGAGCGCGTGGCGAGAAGAAACAACGTCGCGCGCCATGGGGCGCGCTGTGAGAATTGAACGAGAATGATTGAACTATGAACAATTGGGTACAAGTACTAACCCTAATTGGGTTGTACCCCTTATGGGCTATAAGCTACACAAAAGTATAAGCTATAATGTTCTGACACACCCCCATAGGCAAAGTGGGGAAGAACAAGGGGTCACAAGACCAGTCAAGCAAAGCAAGCTCAGGGTGGATCACAAAGTCACCACACATTCCGAGCACAAGTTCAAGGCCAAAAGGCCAGTTTACATGCAGGATTATATATATATATATATAAAAGGCTATACAAGCAAGAGCGGGAGTATATATATATGTAACAGTACAAGCAAGGTCAAGAGGTGAGCAAGTGAGGCAAGGCAGGCACAAGACCCAGCTGAGTACAGAAGCGTTGATGATCACAAGGCGCAAGCGCCTTGGTGAAGATATCAACAGTGTTGGCCTCAGAGGCCACATACGCAAGACGCAGCTGACCACGCTGCTGTAGCTCACGAGCAAGGAAGTAGTGAAGAGCAATGTGCTTCGTTCAGTGCTCTTGTTTCTTCTCCCGACACAAGGCCAGCATGGCCTTGTTGTCTACGTACAGCACTAGAGTAGAACGATGCGGCTTTCCGAGGTCAGTCAGAAGGTAGGTGAGCCAGCGAAGCTCCTGTGCAGCCATGGCTCCTGCGTAGATCTCAGCCTCACAACTGGAGCTGAGAACAGAAGACGAGCGAGTAGACCGCCACGAGACAGAGCCGGAACCAAGGTTGAAGGTGTAACCCTCTGACGACTGCTGCGTAGCCTGGTCGTCAGCCCAAGAAGCGTCTGCGTGCCCAATGAGGACCACTGGACTCTGCCCTCCAAGCACTAGCCCCATGCCCGACGTACTGCACAAGTAGCGCAACACCCTCTTCGCTGCAGCCATGTGCTCCGGTCTGTGTCTCCCAGGAGCAACATAGCGTGCGAGAATGCTAAGAGGGTATGCAAGGTCAGGTCGTGTCCAGGTCATCAGGTACATGAGGCAGCCAACAAGCTTTGGGTACGGGCCACTCGACTCTACGGACTCATCCGAAGGCAGAGCTGAGAGCGAGTGGAGAGTAGGCAGAGGAGTGGCCTGAGGCGAGGAGTACGTGAAGCCGAAGCGCTGAAGGACCTGCTGCACCATGTGTGACTGAGTCAGGGTAATGGTGCAGCGTGCTCTGTCCCGGGTGATCTGCAAGCCAAGGTAGCTGCGCAGTTCACCCAGCTCTGTGCACGTGTGTCTCTTCTGCAGCTCGGACTTCACGTGGGCGAGTCCAGCAGTGTCAGCTGTCGCAAAGACCAAGTCGTCGACGTACACGAGGATGTAGAATGGCGGCAAAGAAGTGTCGGTGCGCAGAAACAGCGACGGGTCGGCAGTAGAGGGAGCAAACCCAAGAGCCGCAAGTGTAGTCCTCAGTGTGAGGATCTTGGATCGAGCTCAGAAAAGATGATTCAAATTGAATTGAATTGAATGTCCACCTGGGTACAATACGAGGCTATATATAGGCTCGACACAAGGCCCCGTAACCAGGTGTTACGCGAAGGTTCCGCGGGTCGCAAAGCGTCCCGAACAAATCCTTACCGAATTTGGTAGAAGGCAATTCGGTGGCAACCGAAAAGGCTAGAATTCGGTGCACGCAACCTAGCTCGGTGCCATAACTATAATAAAATATAGGAAAGCACCTAGCCTAGGAAATCAAGCAATTCATGCATGCATATGATTATCCTATGCTAGAAATAGCATGATAAAGTAGAGGCAAGCAAGCATAGCTGGCATAAGCCGTCGTACTCTCACACGTCCCCCCCTGAAAGCTGGGTGGCGTGAGATACACCCTGCTTGACAAGATAATCCTTGAGAGCACGGCGTGCGTTGCCGATATCAGCTTCTGCAACCCAACTGTCCTCTGTGGGGTCGTATCCCTTCCAGCGTATCAGGAACTCGAGAGTCTTGCCACCGCGGCGCCGATGAGAGAGAACGCGCTCGATCTCGTACTCGGGTTCATCCTGTATGAGAACAGGTGGTGGTGGCGGTAGTTGCCGTCCCTGGAACTGTTGGTTGGGGTCCTTGTAGGGCTTCAGTAGCTGGACATGGAAAGCGTTGTGAAGCTTCTATGTATCTGGTAAGTGCAAGCGTAATGTAACTGGTGTCACCTGTGCCTCAACGAGAAAAGGACTGTCAGATTTATATGACATAGTTGCTGTAGGCTATAGTGGGGCAGCACATATGGGGTACAGGGTTTCTAGGGTTGTATTTGTACCCAATCTTTCCTTAGTCATTTCATTCCTGTTTTCTTTGCTTCACATGGTATAGAGCGGGTCCTGCCTTAGGACCGTTTTTTTTTTAGGGCCCACCGAAGCGCGCCCCGAGGCGCGCCCTTTCTTAGCGACCCCTCGGGTCGCCTTTTCCCTCGCGGCCCCGCTGTCCCTCAGACGCGGCCCCGCCACCTTTCCTGATCGCGGCCCCGCCGCCTGCTTGACGCGGCCCCGCCGCCTCCCCTGACGCGGCCCCGCCGCCTCCCCTGACGCGGCCCCGCCGCCTCCCCTGACGCGGCCCCGCCTCTACTGCCGCGGCCCCGCCGCCGCCTCTGACGGCCCCGCCGCTGCACCCTACGGCCCGCCACCTCTGACGGCCCCGCCGCTGCACCCTACGGCCCGCCGCTGCTCCTGCCGGCCCGCCGCTGCTCCTGCCGGCCCGCCGCTGCACTTGCCGGCCCGCCGCTGCACCCAGCGGCCCGCCGCTTCACCAGACGGCCCCGCCGCTCCACCTGCCGGCCCGCCGCTGCACCCTACGGCCCGCCGTTGCACCCTACGGCCCGCCGCCTGCACCTGCCGGCCCGCCGCTGCACCTGCCGGCCCGCCGCTGCACCTGCCGGCCCGCCACTGCACCGGTTGACCCGCCGCTGCACCTGACGGCCCCGCCCCTGCATCTCCCGGCCGGGCCGCCCCAGCAGCCGAACCGCGCGGGAGCCGAGCTGCCCAACGCCGAGCCGCCCGGGACCCGAGCCGCCCTGCCGCCAAGCCGCCCGGGAGCCGAGCCGCCCTGCACCCGAGCCGCCCAGCCGCCGAGCCGTCCGGGAGCCGAGCCGCCCTGCACCCGAGCCGCCCTGCCGCCGAGCCGCCCGGGAGCCGAGCCGCTGTGCACCCGAGCCGCCCGGTCGCTGAGCCGCCTTTCTGCAGAGCTGCACGACCTGCCCTGCCTGGTGAGCACAGTCCCACTCACACTGCGAGCTCTTTGCCTACTGCTTACACTGCGTCGCTGTCGTCGCCATGGCTACCCCTAGTGTCCTAGCTTTCGACGCTGAGGGTCGCGCCATTGATTTTGAGGTCTGGTTAGACGACCTGCAGCTGTTCTTACAGTGCGACAGGGCTGACGACCTTTCTCTCTTTGACCTCACCTCTGGCGCCTCTCCTGCTCCTGCTGCTGATGCTGATCCCACTGTCCGCTCTAAGTGGGCCACCTGCGATGCTGCTGCACGTCTTGCTGTGCGTCGCCACCTCCCTATCTCTGAGCGTGCGCACTTTAGTCAGTACAAGAGTGCTCAGACCTTGTACGACGCTGTAGTTGCGCGCTACTCCTCCCCTGCCACTGCTGCACTGAGCCGTCTCATGCTTCCCTACCTCTTTCCTGACCTCTCTGCCTTTCCCACTGTCGCTGACCTCATTACGCACCTCCGCACTAGTGACACTCGCTACCGCGCCGCCCTTCCTGCTGAGTTCTGCGCTAAGAACCCCCCCCCATGTACATCGCTCTCTACTACGTAGTCGCGCGCCTCCCTGACTCCCTTCGCGTCGTCAGGGACCACTTTCTCGCAGTCTGTCCCACCACCCTCACCGTCGACCTCCTCGAGAAGGCCCTCCTCGCAGCGGAGAAGAGCATAGTCGCTGTAGGTGCTTCTCGTGGTGACCCTCGCACCCCCATCTTTGAGGGGTGCTCTCCTTCCCCCTTGCTGCCCTCTGTTGCCTCTGCTGCTGCTGCCGACCTGCTTGGTCTCGAGTCGGTCGGCGCGGCGTCTGCCCCTAGTGGGAGACGTCGCTCCAGCAAAGGCAAGGGGGGCAAGGGCGCGGGTGGAGCTGGAGGGGGCGGTGGCGGTGGCGGCGGTGGCGGCGGAGGGAGTGGGGGTGGCGGCGGGACTAGTGGCGGGGGTGGTGGTGGTGGTGGCAGCAGCGGCGGAGACGGTGGTGGTGGTGCCAGCGGTGGTGGTGGAGGCAGCGGCGGAGGTGGAGGCGGCGGAGGTGGAGGCGGTGGAGGCGGCAGCGGAGGCGGCGGTGGTGGTGGAGGAGGTGGAGCTGGTCGAGGTGGTACCCAGCAGCGTAGCGGCGGTGGTGGTGGCCAGCGCTCGCAATGGCAGCAGCAGCAGCGCTCGCGGGACATCCCTCCGCCTCAGTAGCTTCGTGAGTGGTACGCTGGGCGTCAGAGGGGTGGGGGTACTGGTCCCTGCACCTACGTTCTTCGTTCCGGCGACCGCGCGGGTGAGCAGTGTGGGGGTGCCCACGCCACCCAGCGCTGCTTTGGCCGCCTGACGGACGCTTGGCGTCAGCAGTTCCCTGGGGCTAGTGAGATCCCTCGCTGGGATGAGCTTCTCAGGGCTGGTGTAGCGATCTTTGATCTTGATTTTGATGCTATCCTTGCTGCTATGTATGTTGTGGATTATAGTGAGGAGAATGAGGGTTACCGTTGTTTCCAGCCCGACCCGGGCATTGGTACTGCTGCGCTAGGTGCTTGTGAGGCTGCTGCTCTAGGTGCCAGTGCGTCTGTGCTCTCAGGTACTGGTGAGAATGCGCTCTCAGGTACTGCGTCGTCCTCGTCCTCCCTCACTTTCACACTTGACTCCGGAGCTTCTCGCTCCTTCTTTCGAGACCGCACTACCCTTACGCCGCTCGGCCGGCCGGTTGCGGTCTCCCTTGCTGACCCCTCTGGGGGTCCTGTCCTGTCTCACTTCTCCACTGTCCTCCCGTGTCCGGCTGCCCCTTCGGGCACCCTGTCGGGTCTGTACCTTCCCTCGTTCTCTACGAACTTGGTGAGTGGAGCGGACCTGCAGGATGTGGGGGTTCACCAGTTCACTCCTGCGAGTCAGCGGGTGACCCACTGCACGGAGGCACGCACAGGCCGACACCTGGCCACGTTCTCGCGTCGGCCGGGGTCGAGTCTCTACACCCTGACCGTTGAGTCTCCTCCTGTCCCTGCGTCTGGTCAGGTGGCTGCGTCGGGTCAGGTGCTTGCTGCTGCGTCCCGGTCAGGTCCTGAGTCTGCCCCCTGTTCTTGTCGCCTCCTGTCTCACGAGACTCTCCTGTGGCACCACCGTCTTGGCCACCCCTCCTTGCCCCGTCTTCGGAGCATGGCTTCCCGTGTCCTTGTCTCTGGTCTTCCCCAGTCTCTCCCTCCTCTCCCCTCCGGGCCAGGACATGCCTGTGTCCCCTGTGTCGAGGGTCGCCTCCGGGCTACTCCCCACTCCTCCCACTTCCCCCCGACAGAGGCTCCCCTGCAGACGCTTCACATGGATGTGTGGGGCCCAGCCCCCGTCCGTGGGCAGGGTTACGAGCGCTACTTCCTGTTGGTGGTTGACGACTACTCGCGTTACACCACAGTCCTCCCCTTGCGCAGCAAGGGTGAGGTCACTGAGGTGCTGATCGACTGGATCCGCGAGGCTCGTCTCCAGCTCAGGAAGAGCTTCGGCTCGGACTTTCCTGTTCTGCGTCTGCACTCTGACAGAGGCGGAGAGTTCTCTTCTCGCCTTCTGCGGGACTACTGTCGTGCACGGGGGATCCGCCAGACCTTCACGCTTCCGGACTCACCACAGCAAAATGGGATTGCTGAGCGCCGCATTGGCATGGTCATGGATGTCGCTCGTACGTCCATGATGCATGCGGCTGCCCCCCATTTTCTGTGGCCGTTTGCGGTGAGGTACGCGGCGCATCAGCTCAACCTTCACCCCCGGGTCTCTCGGCCTGCGATGTCCCCAGCCTTGCTGTGGACGGGGAAGGTTGGCGATGCGTCTGTGTTCCGTGTCTGGGGATCTCGGGCGTTTGTCCGCGACTTGTCTGCGGACAAGCTGTCCCCTCGTGCTGCTCCCTGTGTCTTCCTTGGCTTCCCCACTGACGCCCCAGGGTGGCAGTTTTACCACCCCTCCTCTCGTCGTGTTCTGTCCTCCCAGGACGTCACGTTTGACGAGTCAGTCCCCTTCTACCGTCTCTTCCCCTACCGCACTCCTTCCCTTCCCCCGCCACCGGACTTCCTTGTGCCGGTTCCCCCCCCGGTAGACCCCCTCCCCCCTCAGGTTCGTGCCCCCTCAGGTGTGTCCCAGGTAGACGCCGTTGACCCGGTCGAGGTTATTGGTGACTCTGGTGCTGCTGCGGGTGCTGAGCGTGGGGGTGCTGACTCTGGGGGTACTGTGCGCGGGGGTGCTGAGCCTGGGGGTGCTACTGCTGGGGGTGCTGGGCCTGAGGGTGCTACTGCGGTGGGTGCGGAGCCTGGGGGTGCTGAGCCGGGGGGTGCTGTGCCTGGAGGTGCTGGGTCTGCGGGTGCTGGGTCGGGAGCTGCTGAGCCTGGGGGTGCTGAGCTGGGAGCTGCTGAGCCTGGGGGTGCTGCGTCTGGAGCTGCTGAGCCTGGGGTTTCTCCTGCTGCTGCGTCTCGCCGGGAGCCCCTCTCTCCACAGGAGCTGCGCGAGTGGTTCGCTCGCCGCTGGAGGCGTGCTGCTGAGTCTGGAGGTGCTGCTGGAGCTGGAGCTGGAGCTTCTTCGACCGTCGAGGGTGCGGGTGCTGCCGGTCCCGTAGCTGCTGGACCTGCGGGTCCTCCTGGAGCTGGAGCTGCTGAGGGCGTTCGTGCTGAGCCTGCTGCTATTGGTCCTGCCGCTGGAGGTGCTGTTGGCGCTGGTGCTGTCGCTGAGGGTGCTGGTGCTGTCCTTGCTGAGTCTGGAGCTGCCGCGCGGCCTCGGCCGTACTTCGTTCCGCTCCTGCAGCAGGTTCTTGGTCTTTCTCCTCCAGTAGAGGGTCCATCGCCTGTCCAGTCGCAGTCCCTGCTGGAGCCTTCCTCTCCACTGCCTGCTCCCTCTCCTTACACTGGTCCTACCGGAGGTCTTGCTGAGCGTCGTGAGCCTGCGTCTCGTCCCGCGTCGCCTGTTCGTGCTACTCGCGCTAGTGGTCGCAGTTCGCGTCAACATCCTCCTCCTGTCCCTGGCACGCACCGGATGTCTCTGCGTCGGTCCACTGCTCCTCTGCGTGCCCCTTTGCCTTCTCCTCCTGAGTCCTCTCTTCCTGCGCTTGCCGACCCTGAGTCGGACTCTCTTCGCGCTGCCAGTCCTACTGTCACGCGTCTGCTTGCTACTGTCGTCACTGACCCCTCTTTTGAGTCCACTGCTGCGTCTGCTCTAGTCGCTGAGCTCGTTGACCTTGCTGCTCGCTGTCGTCTCGACTACGCTGCTAGTCTTGTTGCTGAGTCTGCGTCTGTCTGTCCTCCGTCCGTCGGGGGTGAGTGTGCTCTTGGCACGGACGTCCTAGAGGACAGGCAGGAGGAGTTACAGTGTCTAGCGGCTGCTTCACCTCATCTCGCGTCTGTACTGCTTGCCCCTGAGGGAGACCCGGATGCACTAGACATCCCGACTCCGCGTTCTTACGCGGAGGCCGTAGAGGGTCCCTACTCCTCTCAGTGGCAGGCAGCTATGGATGCAGAGATGGCTTCCTGGAAGTCCACAGGCACCTACGTTGTCGCGGTTCCCCCTCCTGGGGCGAACATCGTCAGTGGCATGTGGATCTTCAGGGTGAAGCGGCCGCCGGGCTCTCCACCTGTCTTCAAGGCACGGTACGTTGCTCGTGGCTTCAGTCAGCGGCGGGGAGTTGACTACTTTCAGACCTTCTCTCCCACCCCAAAGATGACTACTCTTCGGGTGCTGCTGCACATAGCCGCTCAGCGCGACTACGAGCTTCACTCTCTCGACTTCAGCACTGCGTTCTTGCAGGGTAGCCTGCACGAGGAGATCTGGCTTCGGCGTCCACCTGGCTTCACTGGGACTTTCCCTCTTGGCACCCAGTGGAGCCTCCGACGGCCAGTCTACGGTCTCCGCCAGGCACCGCGTGAGTGGCACGACACACTGAGGACTACGCTTGCGGCTCTTGGGTTTGCTCCTTCTACTGCTGACCCGTCGCTGTTTCTTCGCACCGACACTTCCCTGCCGCCGTTCTACATCCTCGTGTACGTCGACGACTTGGTCTTTGCCACAGCAGACACTGCTGGACTCGCCTACGTGAAGTCCGAGCTGCTGAAGAGACACACGTGCACAGACCTGGGTGAACTGCGCAGCTACCTTGGCTTGCAGATCACTCGGGACAGAGCACGCCGCACCATTACCTTGACTCAGTCACATATGGTGCAGCAGGTCCTTCAGCGCTTCGGCTTCACGTACTCCTCGCCTCAGGCCACTCCTCTGCCTACTCGCCACTCACTCTCAGCTCTGCCTTAGGATGAGTCCGTAGAGTCGAGTGGTCCGTATGCAGAGCTTGTTGGCTGCCTCATGTACCTGATGACCTGCACACGACCTGACCTTGCATACCCTCTTAGCATTTTTGCTCGCTATGTTGCTCCTGGGAGACACCGACCGGAGCACATGGCTGCAGCGAAGAGGGTATTGCGCTACCTGTGCAGCACGTCGGGCATGGGGCTAGTGCTTGGAGGGCGGAGTTCAGTGGTCCTTACCGGCCACGCGGACACTTCTTGGGCTGACGACCAGGCTACGCAGCGGTCGTCACAGGGTTACACCTTCAGCCTTGGTTCCGGCTCTGTCTCGTGGTGGTCTACTCGCTCGTCTTCGGTTCTCGGCTCCAGTTGTGAGGCTGAGATCTACGCCGGGGCCATGGCTGCACAGGAGCTTCGCTGGCTCACCTACCTGCTGACTGACCTTGGAGAGCCGCCTCGTTCTCCTCCAGTGCTGTACGTAGACAACAAGGCCATGCTGGCCTTGTGTCGAGAGTAGCGCTTGGAGCACAGAACGAAGCACATTGCTCTCCGCTACTTCCTTGCTCGTGAGCTGCAGCAGCGTGGTCAGTTGCGACTTGCGTACGTGGCCTCTGAGGCCAACACTGCTGATGTGTTCACCAAGGCACTCGCTCCTTGTGACCATCAGCGCTTTTGCACCCAGCTGGGTCTTGTGCGTGTCTTGCCTCACTTGCTCTCCTCTTGACTTCACTTGTACTGTGACATATATATATGCCTGCTCTTGCTTGTCTAGTTTTATATATATGTCTGTACTCATGCATGTGAACTGGCCTCTGGCCCTACTCTTGTGCTCGGACTGTGTGGTGACTTTGTGATCCACCCTGAGCTTGCTCTGCTTTGCTTGACTGGTCTTGTGACCCCTTGTTCTCCCCCACTTTGCCTATGGGGGTGTGTCAGATTTATATGACATAGTTGCTGTAGGCTACAGTGGGGCAGCACATATGGGGTACAGGGTTTCTAGGGTTGTATTTGTACCCAATCTTTCCTTAGTCATTTCATTCCTGTTGTCTTTGCTTCACAAGGACCACAGAAGCGAGGCCGGAGTTTGGATGGAAGGTGAGACAGGTTCAAGTTGCGCGTGTCAAGAAGCACCTGATCTCCGACTGCTACTGAGTGATCACGTCGCTGACGATCGGCATACTGCTTCTGGGAGTTTTGCATCGTGGTGAGACGTCGCTGAGTCTTCTCCCATAGCTGTTGCATGGTGGTGACGAAGTCATGTGCGGCTTGGACGTGTGCCGGTGTAGTTGGCTGCTGTGGTGTGAGTGGTTCCCGTCCGTAACACAGGAAGAAAGGAGTTTTCCCCGTGGCCGCATGTGATGCGTTGTTGTAAGCGAACTCTAGGGTTGGTAACTGTGTGTCCCAGTGGCTGACGTCGTCCTTGCAAGCTGTGCGCAGTAACTGTTCAACCACTTGATTGAGTCGCTCTGTCTGTGCGTCAGTCTGGGGGTGGTATGCTGAAGACATTGCAAGCTTTGTCCCCAACAGTCCCATGAGCTCCTTCCAGAACTTACTCGTGAATTTGGGGTCTCTGTCTGAGATGAGCGTAGCGGGGATGCTGTGGATGGTGATGATGCGGTCGAAGAAGAGTCGAGCAGTTGCTTCAGCTGTAGCTGTGGCGTTGGCCGGTATGAAGTGACCCATTTTGGAGAACTTATCGATCACCACGAGGATGGAATCATGTCCCCGTGAGGTCGAAGGAAGCCCTGTGATGAAGTCGAGGCTAACGACTTGCCATAGCTGCTCCGGTACGAGTAGAGGCTGAAGTAACCCTGCTTTTTTCTGCTTGCTGCTCTTCATCCGCAGGCACGTGTCGCAAGAGGTTACGAATTGCTGCTCGTCTGCTGCCATCCCGGGCCAGTAGTAATACTTCGCTATCCCTGCTAACGTCTTGTTGCTCCCGAAATGTCCCGCGTAAGGTACGTCGTGAAACTCCTCTAATAGGATCTGCCGTAGCGGGGCGTAATTCGGTACCCAAATCTTTCCTGAACCCTTCCTTACAGCTAAGTCTTTCTGCCACTGTAATAGCTTCTTGGTCTGTGCTGTAGCAATCTCTGCGTCCACGGAGTACCCATGTTGGAATAGACCCTTGAGCAGAGGGTTCATCCCGTCGAGCTGGATGCCTGCTACATGTCCGGGGCGGCTCAACGCGTCTGCCTTGTTGTGTAGCCCGGGCTTGTAGACGATGTCGTAGTGGAAGTGAGTTTCCAGGAAGTCCACCCACCGCACCTGTCCTCGTGAGAGTGTCGGCTGTGACTTCAGGTATTTGAGGCTGCAGTGGTCAGTATAGACTGTAGACTTGGCTCCCTCTAGGTAACACCTCCACGCCTTGAAGGCTATGACTATCGCTAAGGCTTCCTTGTCGTGAATGGGGTAGTTTAGTTCTGCTCCGTGTAGCTTCTTACTCAGGTAGGCGATGGGCTGCAAACCACGTCCGTGATCCTGCATCAGTACTGCTCCGACTGCTTGGTCACTAGCGTCTGCTTCCACCACGTAGTCCTCGTCTGGATCCGGCAAGATGAGTACTGGCGCTGTAGTCAGTGCTATCTGTAGCTGCTCCATGGCTTGCTGATGAGGGGTATCCCATTTGTAGGGCGTATCCTTTTTAAGTAGGTCGGTTAGTGGCGCTGCTATCTTAGCGTACTGCGGCACGAACCTGTTGAAGTAGTTGGCGAAGCCTAGGAAGTGCTGTAACTCCTTCATGTTCTCTGGTACTTTCCACTTCTTGACGGCTTCGATCTTCCGTGGGTCCACGTGTATGCCCTCCGCACTCACCATGTGCCCGAGAAACTGCACCTTCTTCAAGGCGAAGTCGCTCTTTGACAGCTTCACGTAGAACTTGTTTTTCCGTAGGATCTCGAACACCTTCCGCGGATGCTCCACGTGCTCCTTCATGTTCTTGGAGTAGATGAGAATGTCGTCCAGATACACCACCACGCATTCGTCCAGCAGGGGTCGTAAGATGTGATTCATCTCCGCCTGAAACTTTGCTGGTGCGTTGCAGAGTCGAACGGCATCACCAAGTATTCGTAGGAGCCGTATCTGGTACGGAACGCTGTCTTGTGGACGGAGTTGTCTGCCATCTTGATCTGCAAGTAGCCCGATCGTAGGTCTAGTTTCGAAAATACTGTTGCTCCACGCAGTTGATCGAGTAGGTCGTCTATGCGCGGTATGGGATATTTGTTTTTGACTGTCTCTTTGTTCAGTGCGCGGTAGTCGATGCACATCCGTAGACTGCCGTCTGGTTTTGGAGTGAAGAGAACTGGTGCACCGTAGGGAGAGGTGGATGGGCGGATCAGTTGTCTGTCCAGTAGATACTCTATCTATCTTTTCATGTCTGTCAGTTCAGTCGAACTCAGTCGGTATGGTGCATGTGAGACGGGTTTCGCACCTGGTTCCTCCACGATCTCGTGCTCGTGGGTGCGTGCTGGAGGTACGCCTGCAGGTAGGTCGTTGTCAGATTATTATAGCTGATGCATGTTTGTAGGCTATAGTGGGGTAGCACATATGGGGTACAGTTTGCTAGGGTTGTACTTGTACGACGCTGTAGTTGCACGCTACTCCTCCCCTTCCTCCGCTACCCTTAGCCGCCTCATGCTACCGTTTCTCTTCCCTGACCTCGCTTCCTTTCCCACTGTTGCTGACCTAGTTACCCACCTCCGCGCTAGTGACACCCGCTACCGTGCTGCCCTTCCTGCTGAGTTCCGCGCTGCGAACCCTCCTCCCATGTACATCACTCTCTACTTTCTCGTCACCCGTCTCCCTGAGTCCCTTCGTGTCGTTAGGGACCAGTTTCTCTCTGTCTGTCCCACCACTCTCACTGTCGACCTCCTTGAGGAGTCCCTGCTAGCAGCTGAGAAGAGTATTGTCGCTGTAGGGGCCTCTCGGGGTGACCCTCGCACCCCCATCTTTGAGGGGTGTGGTCCTTCCCCCCTGCTGCCCTCTGTCGCCTCTGCCGCTGCGGCCGACCTCGCTGGTTTTGAGTCGGTCGGCGCGGCGTCTGCCCCCAGCGGCAGACGCCGCTCTGGCAAGGGCAAGGGGGGCAAGGGGGCGGGTGGAGCTAGAGGGGGCGGTGGAGGAGGCGGTGGGGGTGGAGGGGGGAGTGGGAGTGGCGGTGGGGGTGGTGGCGGGAGTGGAGGTACTAGTGGTGGCGGTGGAGGCGGAGGTGGCGGCGGAGGTGGTAGCGGAGGAGGCGGTGGGAGCGGTGGGAGCGACGGTCCTGGTGGGGGAGGTGGCGGTGGAGACGGGGGTGGCGGTGGAGGCGGGGGTGGCGGTGGAGGCGGGGGTCGGAGTGGCTCGTCCCAGCGGAGCAGCTCTGGGGGTGGTCAGCGCCAGCAGCAGCAGCAGCAGCAGCAGCAGCAGCAGCCGCAGCAGCAGCAGCGCTCTCGCACCGTCCCCGGCCCTCAGCAGCTCCGTGAGTGGTACTTGCAGCGTCAGCGCGGTGGTGCACTTGGTCCCTGCCCCTACGTTCTTCGCACCGGTGACCGTGCGGGGGAGAGGTGTGGGGGCGCCCACACAGCCCGTCGCTGCTTTGGCCGCCTGACCGACGCCTGGCGTCAGCAGTTTCCGGAGGCCGCTGAGATCCCCCGCTGGGGAGAGCTGTCTAGGGCTGGAGTAGCTATTTATGATCTTGACTTTGATGCTATTCTCTCTGCTATGTATGCTGTGACTGGTAGTGATGAGGATGACTGTTACCGGTGTTTCCCGCCCGACCCGGGCATTGGTACTGCTGCGTCAGGTACTAGTGAGGCTGCAGCTCTAGGTGCCAGTGCGTCTGTGCTCTCAGGTGCTGGTGAGTCCGCGCTCTCAGGTACTGTGTCGGCTTCGGCCTCTCACACCTTCACCCTTGACTCTGGAGCGTCTCGCTCCTTCTTTAGGGACCGCACCACTCTCACGCCGCTGAGTCGGCCGGTTGCGGTGTCCCTGGCTGACCCCTCTGGGGGACCTGTCCTGTCTGTTGGGTGCAAATTGACATTGCACGACATCCTGCCGTCTGTTTGTACGAGTATGCGTGTGCGAATGCATTTGCGTGTGAATGGTATGTTTGTGTGTTTGTTTGCTTTCGCAATTTTCGCTTGAAGCATTTGCAGGTACTCGCAAAATGTGCGCTTCGGCATAACATTGTACGCGCTATGAACAGTACAAGCAGAAAGGACGAGCTCGCAAAGGAACCCAAGATGGAAGCTTTGCGGTTCAACTTACATGATTGCGCAGATTCAGTTCTATCCAACTCGAAATTGTACTGTTTTGTTTGGTTGACTATAGTGTAGCAGGGCAGGCACTATAGGGGTACAATTTAGGTGAAAGTTGGATGTTGTTTGTCTGTATCTGCATGCTACAGGGCCAGGGGAAACCAGCGGAACCAGCATTTGGCTGGTTGGGCAAAGACAAAACAGGTTCTGTTTTTAGGACCTGAACCTGGTTGTTGTTTTCCCTAGGTTGGAAAAACAGAACCAGAGGTTGTTCACCAACCTATCACCTGCTATTTTGTCCAGCCAGGTTGGTTCTGTTGCTTGGAATTATTTGGGATCATCCCTGGTTGTTCCCAGGTTGATTCCCAAGGTCCTTGCTAGCTAGAGCTATTTATTCCTTCTCTGTTTGTACCTGAATATAGTAAAATTGATTCAAGCGAATTCCTTCCTTGCTGGAATTTCTTGTCTACGCGGTGCGACGGCGGAATGCTACCCGAGTCAACGCTAGTACGCTAGCACTCCAACGCTAGGCTAACGCTGTCCGAGCCATAACTTCGTAATGGCAGAACTTTTCGCGAGGCAACTTGGCTTATTTTAAAGCTCTTAGAGTGAGCTTCGATATAGGAAATTCTCAGCTTAATCCGATCGACGGTCTGCACGATACGCTGCGCGACGTTCAAGGTACTCTTGCTGTTTTGACTAAGTCCCTCTTGATTCCTCTCTCTACAAACTCGGACCCGAGGATAGGGGCTGGTCTTGTACCAGGCACCCAAGGACCCTTGGAGGTGACCCCGAGGAGAGGTTTTAAGTGTGATAAAGTCTTAATAGCTTGAGTTTATTAGGCCCTTACACCAACAAGCTGGTATCAGAGCTGCGTTATAGTGATCCTCGATATAGGTAGCTATGGCGGGCAACACCTCGGCGGTAGCTGGTGAATCTTCAGCCCAAGATCGTAGCGGCAGCCATGATTCTGGTGTTTCTGCGCCAAGGGGAGCGCGAACAAGCCAGGGCTCGCTGATCAAGGAGGTGCTGAAAAACTTCACCGTCGAGAAGTTCAATGGTGAGGGCTATGATGATTGGGCCTGGAAAATGCAACTTTATTTCCGTCAAATCGGATTGCTGAAACTAATGATTGGGGAGGAGCCTAGACCGACTGACCCCGCCCTTCAGGAAGATTGGGACGAGCGCGCCTCGGCTGGCTACTACTTGATGTCGCAGAGTTTGGAGCTGAACCAGCGTCACCACGTCATGCACCTGCTGCCGGAGGTTGAGTGCGGTCCGAAGGCGTGGACGGTGTTGAAGGAGCTGCACGCCCCGACCTCCGTTGTTGCAACATTGATGCTGGAGAGGGAGCTGTCCGCGTTGCGCCTGAGCGAGGGAGAGCCAGTGCAACCTGTCCTGGACAAATTGCGCGACCTCTACGCGAAGTTGGCGATCGCGGGAATCACCTACCCAGAGCAGACCAAGTGCCTGAAGATGCTCTCGCTGCTGCCGGAATCGTGGCTTCAATTCACGAGCGGATTGAGCCTGCCGCAGAACCAGAGCTCGTGGACACTCGAGTGGGTGCGGACAAAGATTCTAGAGGAGGACTTCCGTCGCCGTCAACTGAGGGGTGGAGACGACGGCAGCAGCGGCTACGGGATGCAAGGGAGCCGACGTGGCAAAGGACGTGGCTTCGGTGGTGCTGGACGCGGTGCAAAGAAAGACGACGACTCCAACGACCAACAAGGAGGTACCGGTTGGGGTCGCGGTGCAAAATCTGGACGTGGGGGCAAGTCGGGTGCTGGTGGCAAAATGAAAGGGAGTTGCTGGTATTGTGAGAAGGAAGGGCACCCCTGGTTTTTGTGCTATAAGAAACCCGATGGATGGACCCCCCAGAATCGTCACCAGGATGGCGGCGCGCGGAGGAACCAGAAAAACGGCGCCAACATGGTCGCTGATTCGTCCGACAACAACCCGAAGGGCAACGGCGGTGCGGAGAAGAAGAAGGAGCGCACCGCGGGCCAATTCTTCCATATGGGAGACAAGGGGGAGCAAGGAGACGCATCTGCTAAGGCTGGAGCAGAGCTGCACCCCCTGGACTATTGGGTGTTGGACACAGGCGCTGCTTGGACAATGACGCCGCGCAAGGACCTGCTGGACGACGTACGCGCTGCACCGATTAATGAGGTGTGCTCTGCCTCTGGACACATGTTGAAGGTGGCTGGTGCGGGACGAGCTGCATTTAAGGGAGCGGATGGCAAGCCGGTGGTGCTGCACGACGTTCTCCTCGTCCCCGACCTGAAGGCCAACCTCATCTCCCTCCGTAAGCTTGGCAAGGCTGGGGTGAACACCAACACGGATGGGGCTCGCACTTATAAGGGGAAGCTGGGCAATCGGGTGCTTTGGGATCTGCACGAGAGCAAGGACGTGTACAGATCTATGTGGCAGCTGCCGGCGCTGGCGTGGCACGGTGGGGGGCAGGCTGGAGAGGGGTCTGCATCCCAGGGGGAGTGCAACGCCGTTGGAGGGGTTGGTGTGAAAGTGTCGGCCAGATCTGGGGAGACAGATTGGGCAACTGCACACCGACGTTTGGGGCATGTGGCAATGCCTTTGCTGAAGCAGCTGGAGAAGGATGGAGCCGTTAAGGGCTTAAAGCTGAACGGACAACCACCCGATGATAACTGTGAAATTTGCCTCCTTTCAAAGTTCACCCGTTTCCCCTTCCATAGTGTGGCTGGCAGGAGCAAAAAGCCGTTGGAGCTGGTCCACATGGACTTGGTGGGGCCGCTGCCGGTGCAAGGGCACAAGGGGGAGCGGTACTTCCTAACTATAGTGGATGACTGGAGCAGGCTAATGTGGGCGTATCCGCTGAAGCAGAAAGATCACGCCGCCTCCACGATTCGGGACGATTGGCTGCCGTTCGTGGAGAAGCAAGCGGAGTGTGTGGTGAAGCGGATTAGGACAGATCGGGGTGGTGAGTTCCTTGGAGCTGAGATGACGGCCTGGCTCAAGAAGCAGGGCATCCAGAGGGAGCTGACCACGGCTTACACCCCACAGTCCAACGGTGTAGCAGAACGGGCGAACCGGACAATTCTGGAGACAGCTAGGGCGCTGCTCATAGAATCTGGGCTGGGCAACTTGATGTGGCCCCATGCTGTTCGGCACGCTACCGTCGCTAGGAACAGGGTACTCACAAAGGTTGGGGATGACTCGTGGGTGCCGTTGGAGAGGTGGCTTAGGAGGAAGCCGCCGGTGGACATGCTGAGGGTGTTCGGTTGCATGGCAGTCGCCCACGTTCCCAAGACCTACCGCAGTAAGTTGGGGGCGAGTGCAATCTGGTGTGTACATTTGGGGCTGGCTGCTGAAAGCAAGGGATGGCTGCTGTGGGAGCCTTCCAAGGGTGTGTTGTTTGACAGCAGGGATGTGAAGTTTGTTGAGGGCATGATGTATGGGAGCTGGGAGAAACAGCCGGAGGCCAGGGTGTCCCAGCAGATGGAGCAGATCACCATGCAGCTGGACCTGACTCCTAGTGTGTGGGAGGAGGGAGAGGAGGCAGCTGCAGAGGGTGGTGATAAAGAGAAGGTGCAGGAGGCACCTGCTGGTGGAGGTGATGGTGTGGAGATTAGCGGTAGCACTAGTGGAGCTGCTGGATCCGAGGGAGGAGAGCAGCAGCAGGGGAAAACTAAGAAGCCGAAGGGTGTCGTTATGAAGGGATGGGAGACACCCGTCTCCAGGCCAGGACGTACCCGTATGGCTACTAAGAAGCTGACTGCAGGAGCTGATGTAGCGGAGCAGCAGCTTGGGACCGAGGAGGCATTGCTGATTCTACCGCATGGCTATGACCCGGATGAGGAGGATCAACCTGCGTACTGTTTTCTTGCCCCTGCACCAGAGGAACCAGCTAGCATGGAGGAGGCATTAGCTGGACCAGATAGGGACAAATGGCTAGCTTCCAGGGATGCTGAATACCAGAGCCTGCTGGAGAATGGGACTTGGGAACTAGTGGTGCTGCCTGAGGGAAAGAAAGCGGTACAATGCAAGTGGGTGCTAAGGATCAAGACTGACGACAAGGGGCAGGTCACCATCTACAAGAGTAGGTTGGTGGCTAAGGGGTTTATGCAGAAGGAGAAGCGGGACTTCAATGAGATCTTTGCTCCCACTGCCAAACCCCCTACCCTTCGTGTCTTGTTGGCAGATGCAGCCGTTAGTGGGAAGTTCATTATCCAGATGGACATATCAACGGCATTTCTCAACGGGATTTTAGAGGAGGAGGTGTTCATGACGCAGCCACCTGGGTATGAGGATGGTACGGGCAGGGTGTGCAAGCTGAAAAAGTCCATCTATGGCTTGAAGCAGGCGCCACGCTGCTGGTACCAGAAGTTGGCAGCTGTTTTAGAGGAGTTGGGATTCAGGACCAGCAGCTGTGATGAGAGCCTCTTTCTCAAGGGGGAGGGGGAGAAGCTGGTGCTGTTTCTGGTCTATGTGGACGACATTCTTCTCTTTAGCAGCAGCATGAAGGAGATCCAGAAGGTGCAGCAGCAGCTGATGGAGAACTTCAAGTGCAAGAACCTTGGGGAGGTAAAGTACT